AAGAAGAACTAACGTTTCTTGAGCAACCAGTATGTTCCAGGTACCACGTTCAGTGCTTTACCTTTGTTATCTCATGTGACCCATGAAGACCCTGAACTAAAGAAAAGTTAAGCGACCTCTTCAAGGCTGCTGGTTTAGAATCCAGGCAGTGTGACTGTGGAGTCCCCACTCTTAGCCACAGCACTCCACCCCTGCATAAGCCATAACTGTGTAAGCAAAATGGAACGCTTTAAAGGCCCCACCGCCTTGCTTGCATTGCTCTGGGGCTGCAAACACTCATGGAGAGAGTTTGAGTCTGTGTTGCTCCCTCCTTCCCTCCTCTTACAGTCCTTTCTCATTCCTCCTCCCCCATTCCTCCACCAGCTGCCCCACCAGCCTTCCTGACTGAAGGCCAGGACCTCCCTCTGCACTGAGATCTTCCTCACAGAGCCAGCTGCTCTGCAGTCCTTTAACTCCAGGAGGAGATTCTTTAGGGAGGGCGGTAACATGTCCTGGACGCTCCTGTTGTCTGTTCGAGACAGCAGACTAGGACCTTTTCCTGGGATGAGAAAGAGGCCTCCAAATGGCTTCTCGCTCACGGCTAATGATAACAACAATAGCAGTAGCTGACATTCGGGTCACATACCACGTGCCAGCTTAGCTGTGCCCTTGTGGTGTGACCTCAGTAAGTTCCAGGGCCTCTTGACCTTAGAAATGGTCATACAGCCTGTCTCTGGAGAGGGTGTTCACTCTGCTCAGGGCAAGCGGCAGGCTCAAGGCCACCCTGTGGTCAGAGCCTGGGCTTTGTAATCACGCAGACCTGGGTTCCAGAGGTAGCTGGGACACTTAGGAGCTGTGTGACCTTAGAAACATTACCTACCCTCTCTGGGCCTTGGCCTCTCATCTGTAAGATGGGTAGGAGAAGCTTGCTGTATTGACATCATGATTAAATGATGTCATTTGTTTTGCATGCCTGGCACAGGTGAGTGAGGGGAATTGGAGAAATGCCAGCTAGTGCTGTTAGTATTAGGATTATGCCCCATTTAAGTGCAATTTTAGGTGGACCTCACGATTTCTTTTTCCATACGATTTCTGGTCAGGTGGGGTTTTCATGCTTTCTGCATAAGGAGAGCTGTTTGGATCCCTCGTTGGGTCATCCTGACACTTGTCTTTTGATCCCCATCCTGAGTGGATGAGGAGGCCGGTTGGTTTCCAGAACTCAGAGTGTGTGTGTGTTTTCTCCTAACAAGCCTAAAGGACTCAAAGTTACCATTACTGTGTTGTTCAGTTTTTCTTCTTTTTTTTTCAGAAAGGGGATGTTTGGGCTGAAGCTGAAGAAAAAGAAAAAGAAGGCAGAGAAGGGGTTAATCCTAGCCAACAAGGCTGCCGAAGGTGAGGCTTTTGGGAAAGGAAGGGGAGCTGACCGCTACCCTAGGGCCCTGGGGCCCATGGACCTCACAGAGTGGACCCCTCCTTGGCTGAGAGCAGGGTTCACTCTCCATAGGAGTGAAGCGGGGAATGTGCTACCCGCTGGGTCTTCTAGACCCTGCTGATCACAGGTGGGGGCCCAAGGCAATCTGCCCAGGGTGGCCGGTCCCTCTGGTCATTGGAGCAAACAGAGGTGGATGGACACCTGCTGGGCTGTGGAAGAGCACCCAGGAAGAAGCCGCGACTGGATTCAAGCTCCCATTTCAGTTCTAATTTGCTCTGTGGCCCAGGATCAGTCACTCAGGGACTCTGAATCTCAGTTTCTCCCTTTGTCAAATGGACACGACGTGGGTTGCTGGGCTGACCTGACGTGGCCAAGGGGAGGATCAACCGAAGCTTTGAAAACAGTGAGCACAGCAGCTGCTATGGGGGAGGCTTTGCATATATTGTCTCATTTAAACCCCTCCATCATCTTACCAGTAGGTGTTGTCCTAGTTTTATAAATGAGGTTACAGAGATGCAGAGAGAGTGAAGTGAGGGAAAGACCAGCTGCAGGAATTTGCAGGGCCCAACGAAAAATGAAAATGCAAAGCCATCGTTAAGAAATTATAAAGAATTTCGAGATGGTGACAACAGAGCATTAAGCCAAGGGCAACTAGGTCCATCTCATCACAGGACCCTGTGCGGCTGCCCAGACCCACGAAGCCTGACCTCCATGGCAGGCACAGAGCCTGAAGCAATCACGCTGGGAGGTGAATCCAGGCTGCCTGACACTCTGCCCTTAGAATGGGCTACTTCCTTTTTCCAAAAGAGCAAAGCCTGAGTTTCAGTGTGAGCCGTGCCCTCAGAGCCCAGGCTGGCATCTAGTAGACGTTCACGTGCATTGAATCAAATGGGATCAGCTGCTTCCAATGGACGTGCCGGCCATGGTCCCCTGGAGACTTCTGCTGGGTGGCCCTGACAACAACCCGTTCAAGGCTAGCTGTCTGGGCTGTTTCTAAACCAAAATGGTGTAGTGTAGCTGATTTAATTTTACCCCTCTTGTCTCCTTGTGGGGGGCTCCTTCACCCTTCACGGCCATCCACTGCAGGCATCCTATAGCCTTCTGTCCCACTTAACTCCACTCCTTGCCCTCAGGTAAAACCTAATCTTACAATAGAAAATTGTGGAAACTCATTCATACCAAAGTGTTGACAATAAGAGTGTTGAGTCAGTTCATCTGGGATGCGGTGAGAGAGACATTGCATTTTAAGTGGGGACAAGGCTTAGGGCTTAATAGAAGTACTTGTCAACTTAGTCAAATTGAAGGTATCAGGGAGTGGGTAGAAAAGGCTTAGGGTCTTTCCTGTTGTCCTTGAAATTATGACACTGCGGTAGGTCCCGGAGACACATGCTTGAATAAGGCACAGTCCTTTCCTTCAAGGACCTTATAGAAAATAATAATAATTTCTAGGACATATTTTATAAGCTCTGGCTGCTTTCTACTTGACACACATCATTTGCTACTCTAAAATATAGATTCCTTTGCCCTTGTCTTACAACAGAGGCTCAGAGAGGGTGAGCAGCCTGCCCGCTGTCACACAGCTGGTACATGGAGAAGGTGACTCCTGAGCCTCGGGCCGTCTCACACCAGAGCCTAGGCTTTGCTACCATGCGGGTCAGCCTCTGGTTAGGAGCCGGTACTCACTGCTCAGAGGAGGAAACAACAAGCTGGCAGAGGTTCAGGGCAGTCAACCACAGGTATTTCAGAGGGGCTGGCTCCTGGGGCTCATTCTAATTAGTCTTCAGCCCACAAAGTAAACAGGGCGGAGGGAATCAGGCCCCTCCTAAAAAGTAAATAGCGCCCATCCTGCTGGCCAGGGGCTGACAAAACAAAGTCCACAGAACTGAATACACGGTCGGTCTTTCTTGGCCTAGCCTGGGAAGGTAGGACTTTTCTGGGTGAAATGTTTCAAGATTCTCAAAGTCTGTGGCTCTTATATCTGTATATTTTGAGGCCTACTGGCTATGCCTTAATTTTCTAAAACTCCAGTTACCTTAACCCCTCCGTTAATTAGCACCCAACAAATAGTTATTGGGTACCTCCCATGATTATCCATTCCTGCATCTACTCAACAAAAGTAAAAGACTGTCTGCTGTGTGTTGGGTGCTGTGCTGGGTTCTGGATGTATAATGGTGAACACTGGAGTGTCTAGAAAGGAGCAGCTCTGTGCAGAACGCTTCTGTTTGCCACCTCCAAGCCTATTCTGTACCCTTCTCCATTTGTTCTCTGTCCCGGGAGGCTGAGCTCTATGGATGTGACCCAGGTCCCTTCCCCAGTGGGGTGCCCCAGCAGGAGGTCTGAGAGAAGGGGGAGAGTGAGGTCAGGATTGCTGGGTAGACGTGTCCTTAGATTAAAGGAGGGCTGCTGCTCTTTGGACGCATCTGACTTCTCCTTCTAGGTTCTGGTAACTGCTCTCTCTCTTCATTTTGGGAGCCTCCAAATAGTAACAGATTGACTGCTGTGAGCCCCAGACAGCTGCACAACCCTTTGTGGTTTTCCTACCCCCACACCTTTGTAAAAAAACAAGAAAAGGTCCTGTTCAGGGTGGTCCATCTGTTATCTGTTGGGGCCCTGATGAGGTAACTATGTTACAAGTTGAGAAAAGTGGCAGAACTAAAATAGGCAGCATGTGGAAATGGAGACCACTGGGGAATCTGTTTCCGTGCAGTCAGGGAGGGGTTCTCTGGGGACGTACCATTTAAGCTGGAACTCCCAGGAAGTGAAGGAGCCACCAGGGGCTGGGCAGGGAGAGGCCTGTGAAGACAGAGTCCAAGCAGGAGAGAGCCTCTTAGGGTAGAAGAAACTGAAATAGGCCTGTATGACTGGAAAACAGCGACAGCGGGGATGGAGGGACAGGTGAGCCAGGAGGAGGAGATGGAAGTCAGATAGAGCAGGACATCAAAGTCATGAGTGGACCAAGTACAGTGAAAAGCCAACAAGGAGTTTTAAGGAGAGAAGCAACATGATGTGGGTTTTTATAGGTCTCTCTGGATGCTCCGTGGTGAATGGACTGGACAGACCTCAGTGAATGAATGAATGATGAATGAATGAATGAATGAAAACTATAGCAGAAGCTTTAGTTGACTGCCCTTCTACCTCCGAGTCTGTCTCACCCTGGAGAATGTAACGTACGTAGAGGGAGAAGTCCACGTTTTGTTAGTCGTTCCATCCTTGGTGTCTAACCCAGCACAGCTTCTGGCATGTGTAAGGTACCTAAGAATGTTCACGGGAAACTTGAATCTATGACATTCGGTCTTCATCCTTGAGGTTTTCTAGTCAAGTAGGGGAAAGGCTTGATTTTATCTGGCCACTTCAAGGAGCGAAGTCAGACACTGGCATTCTTTCTGGTATCTCCGCAGGCTGTCCTTAGCTTTTTTTTCCAGGGGCAGAGAAGGGTCAAAGGTGACTGCATTCATTCAGTCATCCTTTCTATAACCATTGAACGCCTACCAAGGCCTGTGTCCCTGAGCTCCTGGGACATTATGGGATGCATTATGCCATCTGTCTTCCGGCTCGGCACTGTTTTGTTTGGTTGCTGATTAAAATCCAAGAACAAAAATACCTGAAAGCTGCAAGGTGTTTAGAGATTGTTAAATTGACAAGTTTACCAGCTGGGTTCCCTGGAGCCTGCGGTTCTGAGAAATGGCCTCAGGGTTGCCTGAAGAGGGTGGCAGCGAGGCCCCATGGGAGTTCCCCTGCCTGGTATTCTACCCCACAGCATATAGAATAGTGTGATATAAATGGACTTGTGTTACATAGTGAAGTTTAGTATAAAATTACATTTATGAAAGGGTTATGTTGCTTTTACAAAACCATTGGGTTTTGTTTGTTTGTTTTGTTTTGTTTTGTTTTTGGTTCAATTCTTTCATTTGCTAGGCAAGGGGGGAAATGCCAAGATATTCTGAGTAACTTGCTGAAGCCCCCCAACTTGGAATCCACACACCTGAACGCCCACCGTGTACCTGGCAGGTTCTGTGTGAGGGGATGTCCATGTTTTGTCTACCTTTCCTAACAGGCCGTTTATTCTCTCACAGTAATAGAAATCCACCATCAGTATCACTGGGCCGAAACCAAGATGTCAGCAGGGCCCCGGTCTTTCAGGAGAATCTGTCTCTTGCTCCTTCCAGCCTCTGGTGGCTGCAGCATTTTGTCCAATCTCTGCCTCACTGTCACGCTGTATTCTCCTTTCCTCCCTCTCCCTCACCCTTCTGAGGACAGAGGTGACAGCCGTTAGGACCCCTCTGTACAATCCAGGATAATCATCTCATCTCAAATCCTTAATTTTATCACATCTGCAAAGACGCTTTTTTCAAATAAGGACACATGTACAGGTTCGAGGGACTAAGACCCTATATCTTTGGGGAACATTATTTAACCTGCCTCCCCCTGCTACTCAAAATTGGCCCTCAGACACAGGCACGGCCTTACCTGTGACCTTGCTGTTAGAAACTCCAGGCCTACTGAATCGAGATCCATTTTAACAGCTTCCTAGGTGATTCTTATGGACAGAAAATGTTGCTAATGAGGTTCAGGAGGAATAAATTGCTTGTCTGAAGTCCCATTGTGGCGAGGTTATGACTTGAAAGCATGTCTCTAAATTCATAATCAAGTTTTCTTTCCACAATCCTATGCACATGAATATATTCTTCTTTGGAAACAGAAGGTGTGTGTTTTTAAAAATTAAGATCTGTGACTGGCTTTTCTGTGAATAACATGTTAAATTTCACGCTGGCAAGGACTGTCTTATGGTCTCCTTGTACCCCTTCTGGCATAGTGCTAGATGCAGAGTGGGGGCTCAGATCGCCACTGTGTGTCATATTTAACAGGGTTTTCTTTCTTTGTTCTTCTCTAGATGGTCAAGGTGATGCAGACGCACCACAGGAGGGGCCTTCTCACCAG